CTTGTAAAACTGACTGTGTAATGGCTGAAATCGAAAAACTGGGGCAGAAGTATCAAGTGACTCTAAGGATGGCCAACCTATGCAGATGACTGTTTAGTACAGAGAGTAACTCAGCACAAGTGTTACATTGTGGCCACAGTTGACCTGAACCTTAAACGGAGAATCAGGAAGATCCCTGGAGTTCCCATCATGTACATTTCTAATCATAGACACAACATTGAGCGGATGCCAGATGATTATGGAGCCCCTCGGTTCTAATACTTAAAAGACAAACTTCCTCTACTTTCCTTCAACCAACTGTCTCTGTTGCCAGCATATTAAACCTGCTACAGAATGAGTTATTATTGCTCCACTCACCCACTTGCTGTTATGAGCTAAGTATAGTTAAATGCACTCACTTTTTGATGTTGTTTTGAAAATGATATTTTGTATCATTTTAATATCTGTTACCTCTATAAATCAGATGACTGCTCACAAATAAATAAATAAAATTACAACTAAACTACAGAACAACCATCATTCAGGACTGCTGGAAACTTAGCTGAAGTCCCTCCTACAACTCAGGATTTAAAAAAGCCATATCAAGACTGGTAAGAAGAGGCAGAGAACAACCTGGTCCCACATCTACGTGGCAGATAAAAATCAGGAAGGATATCTTGGCTGCAGAGGTCCCCCACCACCAAAGAATGAGGGTTCCCAGCCCCACACCAGGCCCCCCAGCCCAGGGTTCCAGTGATGGGAAGGTAAGTCCCCATAACTTCCTAAGTAAAAACCAATGGAAACTGAGGCTGAGTGAGGACGGCTTCTGGAGTCCTAGGCAATTCCCCTTAAAGGGCCCACACAGACTTACTGTGACTCACTCCTTCTGAGTTCCTGAGCTGGGGTAGCAGCTCTTAAGGCACCAGAGACATATGGGGAGGAAATGAAGTGTCTGGCATCAGAGCAAGAGCTGGAGAGCAGCTTTCCCCCAGATAAAAGTGCAGGCTGAGGCCACTTTTTCCTTTGATGAGCCCTCCCCCCAGAGTTGGCAGGTGGGCGCCATATCTGAGTCTCCATCCATTTGACCATCACTGTTTGCCCTGCCCATTTGCCCTGCCCTGGTGATTCCCTGTGACACCGCCCCACCAAACTTGCAGGCCCACCTACCACCCACGCTGTTTCCAGTGGCTTTTCTATATGAATGGCCTGTCTGGACTCCCACTTCAGGTTTTACTAAAGTCTCTCAAACAAGCAGCACCTGGCTTCAGCATGCCCTGTACCTCTCAATAACTGGCTCCAGGCCAGGCACGAGCAGCAGCCAGCCATGTTTCACAGCCTGGCTTCTCCTGGGCACCTACAAACCCAGCAAAAATGGCAGGTAGCTGCAGATCACTTTGTAGCTCAAGCCAGGTGGCCCTGGACAGAACACTGGCAGCAGCTTACCTTGGCTTGTACCTCCCAGGAGGTCCCAGAACCAGGGCACCTGGTGGACATCTTCAGAACACTATGAAACACCACCAAGTCACCTCCACAATGACATATGCAAGCAGCAGACTCGGCAAGCACCAAGCCCTGCTGAAATAAGTCCTTTTCTGTGGCACAGGCCCCTGCACAGATGATCCTACACAGCTGCCAGTGTTGTAGCCAGTACTTACAGCTGACTGTCCCCCCAGCAACATGCCAACAACAATCAAGGCTCAACTACAAGCGGAGGGTATACACAGCTCCCACGAGGGGCAAACCTCAAGTGCCCAACTTGGGTGATTGGATCCTACAGAATGCCTCCTACATTAGGCCACTCTCTCAAGCCTGGGAGATGTAGCAGCTCGACCTAATACACAGAAATAAAGACAGAGAGACTACCAAAATGAAAAGACAAAGAAACATATCCCAAACGAAAGAGCAGAACAGAACTAGAGGGAAAAAAGTAAACAAAATGGAGAAAAGGAATCTACTACTAGATGTAAATTTCAAAACCCTGGTGATAAGGATGTTCACTGAGAACTTCAACAGCATAGGAAAAAAAACAGTCAGAAATGAAGGATACACTAACTAAAATGAAGAATAATTTGCAGGAAAAAACAGTAAACTAGATGAAGCCAAGAATCAAATCAGCAATTTGGAATATAAGGAAGCAAAAAAAAAAAAAATACCTAATCAAAAAAGCAAAAAGATAAAAAAATACAGAAAAAGAAGGCAGTGTAAGGAGTCTCTGGGACAACTCAAGTGTACCAACATTCACATTATGGGGCTGCCAGAAGGAGGAGAGAGCAAGAAATTGAAAACCTGTTAAAAAACATAATGACAGAAAATTTCCCTAACTTAGTGAAAGAAACAGATATGCAGGTCCAGGAAGCATAGACAGTTCCAAACAAAAAATAAGATGAACCCAAAGAGACCCTCACTAAGACACATCATAATTAAAATGCAAAAGATTAAAGACAGAGAGAATCTTAAAAGCAGCAAGAGAAAAGCAGTTAAGTTACCCCACAGAGGAGCTCCCATAAGGCTATCAGTTAATTTCTCAACAGAAACTTTGCAGGCCAGAAGAGATTGGCAACAAACGTATTAAAAGTGATATAAAGCAGGGACCTACAACCAAGATCACTCAGCAAAGCTATCATTTAGAATCAAAGGACATATAAAGAGCTCCCCAGACAAGGAAAAGCTAAAGGAGTTCCTCATCACAAAACCAGTATTACATGAAATGTGGAAGAGTGTCTTTAAGAAGAAGAAAAAGGCCCTGACTGGTGTGACTCCATGAATTGAGCACCGGCCTGCGAACCAAAGGGTCACTGGTTTGATTCCCAATCAGGGCACATGCTTGGGTTGCAGGCCAGGTCCCCAGTAGGGGAAGTGAGAGAGCTAACCACACATTGATGTTTCTCTCCCTCTCTCTCTCCTTCCCTTCCCCTCTCTCTAAAAATAATCTTTAAAAAAATAGATCAAAAATATAAGATGACAATAAATACATATTTATCAACTAATGAATCTAAAAAAAAGAACAAAATAAATGAAGCAGAACAAAACACTCATAGATATAGAAAACACTTTTGACTGCCACCAGGTAGAAGGAGGGCTGGGGGCAGAGGTGGAAAAGGTGATGGGTTAAATAGTATGAACTGGTTGTTACAGAATAGTGACAGGGATGTAAAGTACAGTATATAAAATACAGTCAATAATATTCTAATAACTATGTTTGGTGTCAGATGGGTACTAGATTTATAGGGATAATCACTTAGTAAGTTGCATAATGTCTAATCACTGGGGTATACATCTGAAAATAATATAATATTGTATGTGAACTGTAATTAAAAAACAAAAAATGATTTAAATTTAAAAAAAGGATGCAGAAAGGACAGAAAACAATTGAAATTGTAAATACATAGGTTAATATAAGAGTGTACTGACTGCTAAAAACAATGTTTTATAGAGTTTAAAATACACATAGATTAAAGTACAGGACAACAATAGCATGTAAATCCTCTTAGTGTTTAAGGTTCTTGCAATGTCCAGGAAATGATAAACATATTACATGAGTAAGCCAAGGATGTATATGATAATTTATAAGATTAAACACTAAGAATTTAATGGAAGAAAGTACAATAAGTTTACAGAGAATAAAAATAAAAAAGGCTGATTAATCCAAAAGAAGGCAAGAAAGGAGAGAGAAAAAAAAAGACAAATAGGTAGATACTTCAGCAACAGAAAACACTAAAATTGTAAACTGAAATAAATATAATTAATGGACTAAATATTTTATTAAAAACATCAGTCTTTATAAAACTCAATAAAAACATAAAACTATTATATTCTGCTTCCAAGATACACAGCTGAAATGCAAATATACAAAATGTTTGAAAATAAAAAATGAAAAAGCATATACAAGCAAAAATTAATCAAAAGAAAGGTGATATACAGTGGATCTTAAGGCAGGACACATTACTAGAGATAAAACAGGCATATAATAAATAAAAGTGTCAATCATCAAGGAAAATATAGCAGTTCTATGTAAGCAATTAATATTGCCTTAAAATACATAAAACAAAACATTTTCCATTTATGGAAACATAATTTTATAAATGATTCCATTTATAAAAAGTACAAAAAATTAGGAGAGTGGTTACCTTGCAGGAGTGTAATGACTTAGGGCAAAAGGCAGTCTACTAAGCTATTATGAATATTCTACCTTTTTAAATTTGGGTAGTGGTTAAAAGAGTATATTCATAAGCAAACTCATAATGCTTTTTGTTTATGGTTTCTGCATCTTTCAGTATGTTTGCTATACTTCCTTAAAAACAAACTATAAAATAAAGCAAGAAAGTGATTTAAAATATTCAAAACAGCAATTATTTCCAATGGGAAAAAAGAGAAAGGATTGACATAGAACATTAAGATTATCAACAATATTAGTAACCTACTATTTCTTAAACTGAGTGGGTTTTTTTGTTTATTACTATACTTCAAAACATAAACGGTGCATACATGCTTTTGTATAATTCTAATATATACTTCAGGATTTTTTAGAAAGAAAAAAATTCCTATATACCAACATGTCAATAGTAGCTTGTCAGTGGCTGGTTGGATTGTAGGCTCTTTTTTCCTCTACTTTTCCATATTCCCTGACTTTTATCAAAACTTTTGAAAATCTTTTTAAAAACTAATTTTAAAAAGGAAAAATTCTCCCTAATTTTTTACCTCAGTTGCCTGCAAATCACTTCATATACAAGCATATTTTATATCCCAAAGTTAAAATGTTAAATAGCCACACAATAGTTGGTGGGCTAATTAAATGATTATTACAAAAGAACCACGAAGAAACCTTTTAGAATGGAAAATTTTTTTACCTTGATTGTGTTGGCAGTAACATAGATATAAATATTAGTCAAAATTTACTGAACTAGACACTTAAAATGCATGCACTTTATTAGATATAAATTTTACTCCAATAAAGTTGATTTTTAAAAACTATTATTGTCCAGATACATTAGAATTAGAAAAGAACATTTTACATACAGTACCTACAAATTCCACAGTTTTCACAATGATACTGCTTCTTGTCTTTGTCAAACAGATGACATATATTGCAATAATATTCTCCAAACAATGTGCTACATTCTTCACAAGTCTGTTGGGCCTAAAAAAAAGGGCACATATAATTAAAAATTGGGATTAATTTACCAAAACATTTTGAATTACTATTTGAATATCCAAAATTTATGTTAAAGTTATGCAGTTCTAACAAGTTTTTAAACATTTTAAATCAAAGGTATTGCCTACTCTGAGAGTTGTCTTACTTAGCAATACTCAATTGAATTTTTAAACCACTTCAATAAAAATTTTTTAAAAACAAAGAAAATAGAAATGTGATGAAATCTTACATGTTGAATTTTTTCACAGTTTATGCACTGCACTTCCTTTACTTTAAAGCGATCTAGCTGATGATCTTCCTTGTTATCATGACATAACCGGCAAGTATACAACTTGTCACAGCAAGGTGCCTAATGCCCAGGGGGGGAAGAAAAAAAAAGAGTTAAAAAAAGCAAGAGAAGACAAGTGTGCAATGCAGAAAGAAATCTTCCTCCTCTTCCTCCTGAAACAAGGCCAAAGACTACAACAAATGGATTTGTTGGGTAAGCTCATCCTAAGCGTAACTATTTCACTGTTTCTTGGTATATTTTAACTGTTCTCTTCAATACCCATATGTCTGTATGAAGTTGAACACAACCTTGCCATTAAAAACAAAACAATCATGATGGATAGAAATCCCTAGACTGAAAAACTAATCCTGCAACATCCTAAACTCATTCTTTGCCTAAATAGCAAGCCACCAACCTCTTCTTAGAGATTCCCAGATAAATTCATCTACTTACTTCAATCCCTAAACATTAAATATTATAAAGATTGTATGTTCACTTGTGTTTATTAATCATTAACTATATGCCTGATGTTTTTAGGGGACACAATATATGTAACAAATAGTCCTTGTTTTCAAGAGTGGCAAAGACTGTCAGGTGTCCAACAAAATCTGTTCTCTCCTTCCGCCTGGGCACATGACTACCCAGCTAGACTACAGTTCCCAGACTTCCTTGCTGTAGTTATGGCCAAAGGGCTTAAGTTCCTACCAACAAAACATGAGCAGAAATAATCAGTGCCACTCCTGGGTCTGAATATTAAGAAACTAAGCATGACTCCTCCTTCAAACTCTCTTTTCCCTTTCCGTAAGATGAAACCTGGATATGGCAGTAACCCAGCTTATGACAATATGCCCTAAAACATGGCAAAATAATACAACAGAAAAAACTTCCTGGATTGATCACTCACCTTGGAATTGTAAATGGAAAGAAATAAACTCATTATTCTTTAACCCACCTGACTGTTGAGTCTTTTTGTTATAACAATGTTGGTTTACCCTAACTAGTACATTAAGAAGTTTCCAGGCTACTAGACTAACCCAATACTTTCCAGTACACTGTGACCTTTTAGCTCCACTCATTTCTGAACACTTCCTATGCCATGATTTACCATAATGAAGTTCACTCCTTGAAGACTTCAACACTCAACTGGCTGCCTTTTTCTCCAACTAATTTGTACATCCACAATGACAACCTTTCCAATACCATGATCTCTCAATTCCTTGGCTTTCTCACTTCAATGGCCTTGTCCAACCTCCTCCACCACATATGCTCGGTCACATTATGTAACAGTGGTTCTCCAACATTTTGGTCTTAGGACCCTTTTATGCTCTTAAAAAGTGAGTATCCCACAGAGCTTCTTTATGTGAATTATATCTACTGATACCACATTATAAATTAAAACTGACAGGTTTTAATATTACTTTTTAAAATAATAGTAACAAATCCAGTACATCTTAACATTAATAACATTTTAATGAAAAATAAGTTATATTTTCCGACGAAATAGCTGGATTCTCAGTTCTGCTTCTATATTCAATGAGTTTTGGTTTAAGTATATGAAGAAATTTTGGACTCACACAAATATGTAGTTGGAAAAGGGACTAGTTTAATAGTCTTTTCAGAGAATTACGAATATGCTTCTCTGATACTACACCAAAACTCAACAACTCTTATAAATGGTTAATTGCAACGTGGACTCTGAGATCACATCAGTAAGTTTTTCCTCCCTGTTGCATTAAAACCCACTGACCTATTTTGAACTTTGAATGTATCTTTTGCTCATGCCTCAGTCATCTGGAAAGTTATCAGTTCACTGAATTATGTATATCTTCCATATGTTAACATATTTGACATGCAATATCAAAAAAATCACATTCGTTAATATCACTACCCATCTCATCAGAAAATTATTTAGGTATTGAGAAGTATTCAAGCTCACAGAAACTAAGATAAAATTCTACTTTATACAGGAAAACTCAAATTTTATCACTGTTGGTTGTTTTCCTTGTAATGACAGTCTCACTTCTCTTTTTGAGAAAAATATCCTCCAAATACCCAAGGCTGAATAACCATAGTTCAAGTAAAAACACGGTGTACCATGAAAAATGCAAATAGTTCATTCATAATCCAATTGCACAACAGCTTTTCTTCACACCAAACCACCTAATTTCAGTTTGCAAAAGTGGTTGATGAAAACATCCCATTTCATCAAACACATGAAAAGACGTATTCAAGGAATGAGATGTTATAAAATTAGTTAGTCTACTGCTTTAATTTTATCAATGACATTCTTAAGTGAACCTGGCTTTTTCTTTTTCTTTTTAAAACTATGGGTGTAGCACAGTTCACTGCCACTGTCTTGATTCCTGCCATGGTGCCAGAAGTTTTAATCATTATTTTTGCACATACTAAAAAATAAAAATAATATCTTAGTATCAATCAGAAAGTAGTTTTGACTTTGAGGATCCCCAGAAAGGGCCTCGGAAATCACCGGGGATCCATTCACCACACTTCCAAAACCACTGCTCTAGAACAAGAACTGAATCCTATTTGTAACTTAATTTCAGGCATGGACTTCTCTCAACATTACTTTCTTTCTTACTCCAGTCCTCCCTTGCACACACTAGTTCCTTCTCTCTTCCTCTACATACTCACCTACACAGAATCTCAACTGGCTAAATCCAAGTCTCTCCTACTTAATTTATATATGAACAGCTGAATATAGCTAAAGAAAAAGCACACCAACACTGACTGGTCTCACTTTAAAGTCATTAACAACTAAAAAAAAGGGGGGGGGCCTTCCTACCATGTTTCCCCAGTTACCCTCATTTTTCCAGACTCTATGACCTCTCTTTAAACCCGACCTCTCTTTAAACCCGGAACACCTCCTCCTCCCTTCTTGTGATCTGCTGATAAATGACCTTGCTTATTTCACTATGAAAACAGTAAAAATAACAGAACATCCTCCCACAGATTCTATCAATCTACTTACAAATATACCTCATATTCTGTCTTCCCCTGTTGCAGAACTACAGTCCATGTTATTATTTAAGGCTAACTCCTCCTCTTGTACACTGGATTCCATATTCTTTGGATACTTAAGGACAGTGCTCCTACAGTTTCCCCCTGCACTCCTGCCACTGCATTATAAAATAATTCTCACTTTATTGGGTCATTTCCAAGAATATACAAACTTGTTGCAATAACCCTCATCTTAAAGGGGGGAAAAAATCCCATGACCCCACATCTCCCAGGAACCACAGTTTCTTATTTTTGTTCTTTTACAACAACACTCCAAGAGTTGTCTAAAAACACTGTGTTACCAGTTCCACCACTCCCATCCTTTCTTGAATACACTCCTATAACGTTTGTACCAATATCTCCACAGGATCACAGTTACCACCTCCTTGATAAATTTAAAGGTCAATTTTTAGTTCTTATTTTACTCCAATAACATCCCTTGATTTAGTTGATTACTTCCTCCTAAAAACTCTTCACTTGGCCTCTGGTATTTAAGGAAGACAGAGGGAAATTACAAAAAGGCATTTGATACTCAGGGCCCAGTGTTTTAGTGCTATGAAACAAATACAGTATCTGCATAGTTTCTTGGGGGTTTGGAGGAAAAGCCAAGATGTTGAATTCAGTCTTAGATCTCAAGCTTGAAAGAGTAAGAGAACAACTCTGGAAACACAATCATAAGGATAGCATTCAATTCCTTACACATCTGGTGAATGGCCAACTTTGAAAGAGTCCATCCATCCAGTGCAGTAGAGGAATGTTCAAACCAAGGCTGCAAAAAAAAAAAAGGCTTTAGGTTGTCCCTACAGGACTCACTGTTCTTATGCAGCAGGAACTTCTATTACCCATATTTCACATACGGGGCACTTAAAGGGTAGTTTGTTCAAAATCACTGAGTTACCACGGAGCAGGAGCAGAGCTAAGATTGGGGCTGTGGGACTCCAAATCTTAAGCTTTCTAAGCAAAATCTTTAAACTGTTTCTTGTACGAAAAATCAGGAAACTTTAATAGGGTGGGTGCCAATTTTAAAAATTCTAGATTGAGTAGGAATTTTTCTCAAAGTAAACAGCAAAAATAACAATATATGCTTACCAGGTACTGCCCTATCCATAATTTCCTACGTGGTGGCAATTACATGATTGTCTTACTATTTCACACATAAATTTTCTCCTTGGCAGGTTCGAGCATACTCATTGACTCTAAAATGAAGCTGGCAAGCCGTAAAACTTATCTCCTACAGGAGCTGAAATCACATGCCGAGTCTCTACTCGCTTATCCTTCTTCCATTATTTCATAACAGACCTGAAAGGGATCCTGGGGAAAAGACAGCACAGGCCCAAGGCTGCCTCAGTCTACTTCCAGCAGGAAATTAAAAACAAACAAATAAATAAATAAACCCACTCATAAAACTACCAATGTGCAACCCAGGCTCTTTCCAAGCATGAAAGGCTGTGCCTGCAAACTGCAAAACATGAGGAAAGGCAGAACCTGTGGACGCCTTGCCAAGAACGTTCTCTGCAGCAGCAACCCAGTTCAAGGTGGAGATCGCAGCCTGACAAAACAGCCTAACCTCAAATTAAGCCCAAACCGAACCGCTTTGCCCAACCCGCCCGCAGCGCGGCCCGGCGGAAGCTCGTAAAGAGCCCAAAGAAGTCGTCACCTTCAGGAGACATCCTCTGTCATAATGCTCGCAGCCCCGCCGCCCTTGCTCTGGGCCTCGGACGCCATCTTCCCGCACCAAAGCCGCCATCTCCTCTACCTCCCCTTATTCTCCAAGGACCCTTCTCCTACGATGAAAACTATGCCCAGAGGAGTACTGCCACCCTAGCACACCCCCTTCCCGGAGACAGCTGCCACTAGAGTCAATATGGCGGACGATCACGTGACCCGGGGCAGTAGGATTTCCGGTTGACGGGGCGGAAGCGAAAGAAGACGCAATCTGTGTCGTCGAAGTTAGTCGTTGCCTTCGCTGTTAACGGTAATAACTCTTAGGTTGCCTCTTCTTTCCCCACCCCATAGCTTCCTGCCGGAACTCCGGGCGTGGTTCGGGGCGAGGAGCACAGCGGTGGTGCGGAGAAACCGGCGGCCTCCGGGGAAGGGCCCCTCTCCGGCCCTTAACGCACTGGTGACAGTGCGGCCCCTCCCTCTTTTCTTGTGGGGCGGGAGGGCCGGGAGCCTGGAGAAAGGGGCGGAGCTGGGCCCGCCTCCCGGCTGCGGGTGGGAGCCCCGGTTCGCACAGCACCAGCTCCTGCGGGGCGACCGCACACTCACCGGTGTGTGGGACTGTGTTCTTTCTTTTGTCCTCCCCTTACCCTGTACTTTATCTGCATTCCTTCAAAATATGTATTAAAATTTACTATATGCCAGTCACCGACTAAGTCGTGGAGACCAACAATGAGGAAAAACGTGCCCCACCGTGACATTACGGAAGTTACAGGCTGGTGGGGGAGAAAAACATTAGAGAATATCTGAAATAAATGTAAGATTACAACTTTGAGAAGTCCTGGAAGAGTGTGTAATCTACGAGAGCTAATGCTGGAGGGGGTCTGACTTAATCTGGGAGCCAAAGAAGGTTTCCTTGGGAAAGTAACACCTGGGCTGGAAGTTGAGGAGTTAGAATGCCAGGAGGAGTTAGTGTGTTAAAAGCCCTGTGGCAGAGGGAACATGGAAAGAAGCAGTGGAAGGGAATTGCACAACTAAGCCTATGGAATTGAAATCATATGCTTCAGCACGTGCATAGTTAAATATAACTTGACTTATTAAAGAGCCAAGCCCCTGGAAATTTTTATGAGCAAAGCTTCAGGTGTGGGAAGAAAATTTTTGCTTTTGGCTTCCTAATATAATTTCGCTTCACCTAAAATGTACCGAGAAAAGTAAATATGTTCCCATTAGCTTTCAAGTTACTAACTCTGACCGTTTTAATTTTCTTTCAGTTCTGTTATGAGTTGCTAAAATCATGGTGAAATGTTGCTCGGCGATTGGATGTGCTTCTCGCTGTTTGCCAAATTCCAAATTAAAAGGACTGACGTTTCACGTGTAAGATTTTGCTGAAGTTAATTAAGCCAAGTACTTTAAAAAACAAAAAGCAGTTTTACTTAAAATTTCAGATTTGAACTTTAGCTCCCAAGTTCTTTTTAAATAACCTTTTTAGTTAAATTTGAAGTGGCAACGATACCTTTACACTTCTATAATTTAGTTTAAAAGTTTAAAATACCAGCCAAGGTATTAGGTTGGTTAACAAAAAGATCATCAAAGTCATATTTGCTAACATTACCTTGCACTTTAACATACCTTCAAAGAAATTCAGTGTTGTTTACATATAGTGTGTAATCTGAATGAAAGATCTTTTCCCAAATATATTCTGTCTTTTCTGTTTAGAAACAGATCAAGCTTAGATTGTAGAAAGAAAATATAAAGTACAGGTTCAGACCAATAATTCTCTCGCTGTATTGCACATAAATCAAGATTATTCTAATTTAGTATTATAGCCATTCTTCTAACGGCATAGCTAGGAAGGAGCAATAAAATTTAATAATTATTCATTTGCTAAAGGTTTATTTTGCTGCTTTTGTGCCAGGCACTGTGCTATGTGCTAGAGAAAGATCTAGTAACTGCTTTGCTTGGTATGAGGAAATCAAAAGTGAGTATGTATCCTCTACCTCATTCTGGAAAGGACTTGAACCAGCTTAGAAAATTAGAAAAGATGTAAGATTTTTGACCTCCAAATCTCAAAATAGTTTTGATCTCAAGAACTCCAAACCATAGGTGTTCCCTGCATTCATTCATAAGCACCTGTAGACCTGTAGTGTATTAAAAGCTTTACTTTATGATGCTGACAGAATAAAAGTACAAGGGACTCTGTTCATCTGGGATAAATTCCAGATATCACTTCAGATAGGAAAAGGCCCGAGTGATATTCTTTGTCACCTATGGATGAAGAAAAATCTTCAGTTGTGGGTCTTACTATAAAGTATTAAATATCCTTTGGACTTTGTAACATGAGAAAAATGAGAAAAATTTGTGGGTCATTTATCTACAGCATGATTGGTAGAAAAATCTATTAAAATTGAAAGTTACAAAAGCATGAATCTTGATGGTTTCTATAATATTTCCTAAGAGTAATAACAAACCAGTTAAGGAATTAATTTAGTGGCAGCCTTAATTCAAGTAAACATCAATAGTGTTTAATTTTAAAACACTTTTTGATTCTTTTTCCTAGATTCCCCACAGATGAAAATGTCAAAAGAAAATGGGTATTAGCAATGAAAAGACTTGATGTGAATGCTGCAGGCATTTGGGAGCCTAAAAAAGGAGATGTGTTATGTTCAAGACACTTTAAGAAGACAGATTTTGACAGAAGTGCTCCAAATATTAAACTGAAACCTGGAGTCATACCTTCTATCTTTGATTCCCCTTCTCACTTACAGGTTTGTTTATGAGATACTGCTTACCATCATTACTCATTCTTTGTGGTACTGTTGAAGAAACTTTACCACCCTTGCTTTGAAATCCTTAAGTTTTTAAATATGTAAGCTGATGCTTCAGACTTCATAATATGTAGTAGGAGTGTTTTACCAGTAGCCACTCAGAAATATTTGTACATTACTAAGGTTTGGTGAAGCGGACTGACCCTAGGAGTTAGCATAATTCAAGAGCTGTATCTGAAAAATAGAGGAACATAAGAGGGTTGAAGTTCCAAGTTGGCAGTACTCCTCACAAAAGTCAAGAGCAGAGCCTCCATCAGGACCAAAGTATAATTTTAGAGCCACATATATTCAGACTTAAAGCTTAGGTAGGACTGAAAGGAAGGAAACCAAAAAGAGAGAACAACAGGAGAAGGTAAGGCAGTAAGAGGACAGGAAAAGAAAATAACAGGATTGGGTAAGTAAACTCCAGTTGAATTCTGTTTTTTCTCAGTTATATTAGTGCCATGGGCTGGCTACTTCCTCAATACCTTTCCTGACTTCATATACCTGGAAGTATATTTACTTCCAAGAACTTTAGGCTGACTGATTCCGATGTGGAAAGTTTCATTACAATAGTAATGAAAGGTATCTCCTTCCTGGCTGCTGGAAACAAGGGAAGTAGTCCAGAACTGTAACTACGCCCGTGCGGTGTTGGTCGCTTTCTGCAGTTGTTCTTGTTGCGGTACCTGAGTTATCAAAGAGAGACCGCCTTATTTCCTTTCATATTAATAAATGAGCAATATCTTGTGCAATTTTCTCTAAATGGTTTTTTCCCCTATAGTAAGGCATCATCTATCTATAATGTTAAGAGGACCTTAAGAAATGTGGGCGTAATAAATCAAATAAAGCATAAGTTACTAACTTTGAAAAACTATTTCCAATCACATAACCTAGAGAAAATACTGTTAACACTCTGGTGTGTATCTTTCCAGTCATTTGTAGGTGTATGTTTGTATATAAATTCATCTATATTTATATAGTCTTACCAAAATAGAATTATACTGCATATATATCCTTTTTTATTTCCTTCTGTTTCGTTTTTTAAAAAGAAATTACTGTGTAGCCAGCACCATTCTAAGCTTTTTACATATATCGTTCATTCATTTGGTCTTCACAACAATCTCATATTCTCATTTTACCACTTGGTGAAACTGAAGGCCAGAGAATGGAATACCTACCCCAGGTTACAGGACTGTTAAAAAAAAAGCAGAGACTGGATTTGAACCCAGGTATTTTAGCTCCAGAGTACACTCTTAACTACTGTTTTCCACGATGTTAAATATAGGATGGGGCAAAAGTAGGTTTACAATTGTTCTTATATTATGGAAAATAATACAAGAATAAACTCTTTTGAATACTTACAGCTATAACCCTACATTTGCCCTATCCTGTAGTTTTTCACCACAATGGCTTTCAAATGTTAGCCTACATAAGACTTAACCAGAATCTTATTTAAATGCAGATTCCTTTGCCCCTCTTTCACAGAATTTGATTCAGTGAGTCTGGGAATCTGTAGTTTATAACAAGCACCCCATATGATTGTATCGCAGAACTATAGATTGCATTTTTAAGAGAATACCATATAGAACATCAATATGAAAAAAAAATGAATGTTACATTTAAGTATAAGATGCATACAGAAAAGTGCAACACACACTATATAGATATAGATATATCAGTGAATTTTCACAAAATGCATACTCTCATGTAACTCCCTCAGATCAAGTTATAGAGTATTACAGTTGCCCCAGAAGCCGCCTCCGTGCTCTTTACCAACCACTACACTCACAAAGGTAACTGCTGTCACTGTCAGTCCTATAAAGGGAGTCACACGGCATGTACCCTGGCTTCTTTAGCTCAGCATTTTGTTTGTGTGATTCATCCACATTGTAGCATGTGGTAGTAGTCGATTTATTTTCTTGGCACTCTATTATTCCATTTTATAAATAAAGTGTAATTTCCCCATTCAACTACAAACGTTTTAGTCCATGTCTTTTGATGCACGCATGTACTGATTTCTGAAGAGTATACGCACACTTTTGTTAGATGTGGAATTTCTGGGTCCCAGGGATGTGTATGTTTAGCTTAAGTAGCCATTGCCATAATTTTCCAAAGTGGTTTACCAATTTATAGTCCCACAATCAGCATATAAAAAAGTTCCTCTGGCTCTATATCCATGTTAGTACTTGGTGTCAGTTTATAAAATGTTTTCAATGATCATATAACCATTGATTCTATGAATGAACAATAGTTTATGGAATCAGTCCTCACTATTTATATAGGTTATCATCTTTCACTATTTTAAACAGCACTATAATGAACATTACTGTAGCAGAATCTTGGTATATATCTTTATTTCCTTGAACTAAATTCTTGGAAATAAAATTATGGATCAAAAAGTGTACACATTTTTAAGACTTTTGCTTTTGATACAAATCTTTCAACGACTTATCAAAAGCTTATACCAATTTGTCTATTCCTAGCCATTTTTATGCATTACTAGCAATGCATAAAAATGTCTGATTAACCTAATCCTCGTATTAGTTGTGTTTTTAACCTTTGCTAAAATTGATAGGCAAAAAAAGTCATCTTATTGTTTTAATTCATCTTTGAATGTTAGTGAGTTTCTACATTTTTTATGTATTTATTAGCCATTTGTATTCCTTTTTCCTTTTTTTCTTGTGTGTGTGTGTGTGTGTGTGTGTGTGAGTTCTTCAGGTCCTCTTCTATTTTCAGATTTTCCTAAGCTATATTGAGGATATGAATCATTTATTGAGGATATATATTGAGGATATGAATCATTTAACTGCCATCTATGTTGCAGTTACTTTTTAATTAATGGGGTTGGTTTGTTTCTTTTTTTTTTTTAATTCAGACTTTTTTTGTTAGTCAACTCTATATTTTCTCTTGTGTTATCTGACTTGAGCCTTTCCCACCTTAAGATTATATAAACATTCCCTATATTTTTGGTAGTTCCTCATGGTTTTCATCTTTACATACATTTTCAATACATAGAATTTCATCATTTTTTTAAGTATAAAGGATATAACTTTTCCTTAATTAGTGTAGAATATTTTTAATATCTTTAGGGCAGCGATTTTCAACCTTTTTTTTTTAATCTCATGGCACACACAAACTAATGACTAAAATTCTGCTACACAACAAAAAAATGTACTTTTTGACAACCTGACCAAAAAAAAGGTATAATTTTGATTCATTCATACCAGACAGCTATTGTTCTGTTGGCTGTTGTCCTTTTTGTAATTTGACAATCTAAAGGAAAAGAGAGCAGTGCCCCTGACTAAATAGGTATGTCATGTTTTAAAAAGTTCTTGTGGCACACCAGCTGAAGATCGCTACTGTAGGACGTAACTTCCCTCATTATCACTCTTCTTTTTTAGGAAAGTGTGTTTCCAGATGAACTTTAGAGTAATTTTGGGGAAGTTCCTTTAAAATAATTTCAGTGGAATTTAAAATTTAGTGACTTTTAAAAGCAGTTTCCATGAAAAGAAATGTATTAATTTTACTATAGTTTAGGAAGGAATAAAAATTTTAAAAGGACAGAACTATCTACCATAATAGTTGTTAACAATTCTCAACAGGGGAAAAGAGAAAAACTTCGCTGTAGGAAAAACTTCACCCTCAAGACCCTTCCAGTCCCAAACCACAATCGCCAGCTTGTTGGTGCTTCCTCATGTATTGAAGAATTTCAATCCCAGTTCATTTTTGTAAGTAAAATTACTTACTGATCTAATACTGGTATTTTTAAGATGAATTTGTCCTCTCCATTAGTATTAAAACTTTTGAAATCTTATCAAAAATTAGGTGTTTGAGTTTTTTTTTAATCTGTAATATCCAAAACTAATAGTGCTTCCCAGAGCCATTATAATGCAATAATAATATATAGGTAGCTAATCCTTCAGTTACATATGTAGTTCATATAATACTTTCACAAGGATATTTCAACCAAGAAATTACAGTAATTACTTCCTCCCTTTAGGTACTATATTATATGGAAATATCTAATTTAAAAATAGTTATGTCTTTAGGTTTTAAAGAACAGTCACACACATACAGAGTAGTCAAGGTTGCATTTATTTATTCATCTTACTGTTTTATGTTAGAACCAGGCCTGGAGTCCAAATCTCTTTCACCATCTTGATTATAAAGCTATAGTTAGCTTTATAATAATTCTTTAAATCAGGTAGTCTTCCAACTTTCTTCTTTTTCAAAGTTGTTTTGGATATTCTGTGTTCTTTGCATTTTTTGTTGAATTTTAGAATCACTTTATAAATGTCCACCAAAGAGCCTGTTAGAATTTTAACAGAGATTATGTTTCATCTGCAGACTCATTTGGGAAAAATCATCATCTTAATAAGACTAATAATTAAAGTCTTTCAACCCGGGAACTGATTATATTTCTTCATTTATTTAGGTATTTAACTTCTCTCAATAATGTTTTATAGTTTTCAGTGTACAGGTCTTTCACTTCATCTTTATAAATGGTATTGTTTTATTTAGTGCTACTATATGGAAATATAGGTGACTTTTATATATTGATCTTGTATCTGAAAAACTTGCCAAACTCACATTTTAATTATCAGAGCTTTTTGTAGAAGCTGTCAGATTTTTGACATTATAGGGTCTGTCATTAAAAACAATTTTCTTTCTTTCTTCAAATATGAATGACTTTCATTTCTTTTTCTTGCTTTGTTGAACTGCCTTGAACCTCCAAGGCTATGCCAAATAGAATTACTAAGAACTAATCTCTGTGCCTTGCTCCTGATTTTATTTTTAATTTCTATTTATTAATTTTAAAGATAGAGAAAAAAATATCAATTTGTTGTTCCACTTACTTATGCATTCATTGGTTAATTCGTTTCTATACCCTGACCAGGGGTCAAACCCGAAACATTGGCATATTGGGACAATGCTCTAACCATCTGAGCTCCTTACCCACAGCTTCAATGCTTTGCTCCCTATTTTAGGAAGAAAACATTCAATCTTTTACTGTTAAATACATTAATATGATACTAACTATAGCTTTTTGTGAGTGCCCTTTATCAGGTTGAGGAAGTGCCCTTCTATTCTCAGTTTGCTGAGAGTTTTTATAGGAAAATAACATTAATTTTGTCAAATGGTTTTTTTGTATCTATTAAGAGATCATATTGTTTTTCTTTAGTTTGTTAATATGTTTAGTTACATCAATTGATTTTTCAACGTTAAACCAGACTTGCATTCCTGCAATAAACCCTACTTAATTATGCATTATGTCTTGAATATATTATTGGATCTGATTTATTAAAATTTTAGGGTATTTTCTTGTATGTTCAAGAGTGATATTGGCCTGAATTTTTTTTTTCTTTTAAATGTTTTTGTCTGATTTCAGTATCAGAACAATGCTGAACTCAGAAGAATGAGTTAGAAAATACTGCCTCCTTTTATGATTTTCTGGAAGAGTTTGTATAGAATTGGAATTATTTCTCCTATAAATATTTGGTAGATTCCCCAGCAAAGCTATCTAGGCCTGGAGTTTTCTTTGTGGAAAAGGTTTTTTGGTAGTTTGTATTTTCCAAGAGATTTGTTCATTTTATCTCAGTTATCATGCTTACTAGCCTAAAATTGTTCATAATATTTCCTTATTATCCTTTTAATATCTATAACATCTGTAGGTATAGGATCTCATTTCAGATATTGATAATTTGTTTCTATCCTCTCTTATTGCTGATGAATCTGCCTAGAGAGTTACCAGTTTTATTGATCATGTCAAATATCTAGCTTTCATTTTCTCACTTTTTTTTGTTTTTGTTTCTTCACTGATTTCCACTCATCCTTTTTACTTATTTCAGTAAAATTGTGTCATCTTTTTTTTTAATTTTAATTTATTTTTTCAAATACATTTGTCTCTGCCTACCCCCCACCACTTTCCCTTGCCCCCTCCCTCCTTCCCTCCCTCAGCTCTTCCCCTTTGGTTTTGTCCATGAGTCCTTGCTGTATGTTCCTTGACTTTCCCCTTCCCTTCCTTTTCCCCGCCCCCCCTCCCTCCTTCCCTCTTATCTCTTGATTTCTTTTCCTTTCAGTGTTGCTGGTCTTATTTTCCTTGCATCTTTGTATTGTTGGTTAGGTTCCGCTTATAGGTGAGATCATATGGTATTTGTCTTATTTCACTTAGCATAATGCTCTCCAGTTCCATCCATGCTGTCGCGAAGTTTAGTAGTTCTTTTTTTCTTTCTGCTGCGTAGTATTCCATTGTGTATATGTACCATAATTTTTTGATCCAATTGTGTCATCTTTGTAGTGTCTTTAGATGGAAGCTGAACTCATTGATTTGAGGCTTCTTCCTTTCTGATGTTGGTATTTAGGGATATTAATTTTTGCCTAAGTATTGCTTTAGCAGCATTCCACAAATTAAATGTTATGTTTTCATTTTTATTTAGTTTACAATTCTCCCGAATTCAATTTTGATTTTTTTCTTTGACCCATGTCTTTAGAAGTTTGCTATGGAGCTTCCAAATATTGGGCAATTTTCCAGATACGTTATTAGTTTCTAATTTAATTCTATTGTGGTCAGAGAATACATATTGCATGGTTTGGATCTTTTAAATTTTTTGAGGCTTATAGCCTAGAACATGGCCTATCTTGGCAAATGTTCTCTGTGCATTTGCAAAGAATTTATGTTCTGCTCATGTTTTATAAATAATGTGATTGAATTATTTGATAATGCTGTTCAAGTCTTCATCATTACTAAATTTCTGTTCACTTGTTCTATTATTGGGAGGGAGGTGTTTAATCTTCTAGTATAACTACAGATTTGTCTAATTCTTCTTGCAATTGTCAGTATTTGCACCTTACATTATACAGTATTGTTATTAGGTGCTAAGTATTTAGTATTATTATGTCTTGATAAATTAACCCCTTAATTATTAAGAAATAACCTTCTTTATTCATGGTAATATTCTTTGTCTGAAGTCTGCATTGTCTGATAGTAATATACCCACTGTAGCTCTCTTTTTATTAGTGATATCCTAATAGATCTTTTCCCACTCCTTTACTTTCAACCTTTTTGTGCCTTATTATCTTTGAAGTACATTTTTTAAAGGCAATATATGCTTTGGGTCTTGAAATTTTAATCTAATCTAATAATTTCTGCCTTTTAATTGGGTTATTTAGACCCTTTACATTTAATGTGATTATTGATATGGCTTGGTTTAGTAATCTTGCTAACAAATAATCTGTAATCTTATTTGTTTCCTATTTTTTCTATTTATATTCTTTGTTCCCATTTTCTTCTTTTTGTGTTCTTTTTTTTGAGGGGTGGATTAATTTAATTCTTTTATGATTCCATTTTATCTCCCCCTCCTTTTTATTTTTACTCATTAGCTATAACTTTTATTTTAATAGTTTCTTTTAGGCCTATAGCATCCATCTTTAACTTGTCACAGGCTACATGGCAAGTGGCATTTATCTACCAAACATTTAGTATAAGAATCTTACAATATTTCTCCTCTCCAAACTTCGTTCTGTTGTTCGTCATACATTTCACTTTTACATATGCTATGAACTCCATACTACATTATTATTATTGTTGTTGTTTAAACAGTAAATTATCTTTTAAAGAGATTTAATAACAAGAAAAAAATCTTTTATGTTACCCATGTAGTTGCCGTTGCCAAGGCTTTTTATTCCTTTCTTCAAATCCGTATCATTCTGTCTGTCTTTAACATTTCTTATAGTGCAGCTATGCTAATGATAAGTTCTTTCAACTTGTGTATGTATTTAAAAAGTCATTATTTAGTCTTTATTTTTGAAACATATTTTTACTAAATATCAAAGTCTAGGTTGATAGTTTTGGAGTTTGTTGATTTTAGTTCTTTAAAGATGTTGCTACTCTGTATTCTCACAAATATTGTTTCTGATGACAAATTTATTGTCATACTTATCTTTATCCTCTTTACCTATATTTCTTTTTTCTTTGCTTTTAAAAAGCAAATGTTTTTGAATAATTTGATTATGATATACCTTAGTTTAGTTTTCTTCATGTTTCTTATGCTTGGGATTTGTTAAGCTTCATTATCTGTGAGTTTACAGTTTTCATCACACTTGGAAAATTTTTGGCTATGATTTCTTCAAATTATTTCTTTTTACCTCAACTTTTCTTCCTTTTCCTTTGGGGAATCTAATTACATGTATATTAGGCTGTCTGAAGTTGTGCCACCACTCACTGATTATCTGTTCATTTTTTTAAAATATTCCCTTTTCTCTCTGTAGTTTCTTCTGGACAGTTGCTGTTGCTATATCTTCACCTTCAGTAATCTTTTCTTCGGAAATGTTGAATCTGCTGTTAATTCCCTCCAACATATTTTTCACCTCAAACATTGTAGTTTTTATTTCTCATCTTCTATTTGATTTTTTTAATCTCCCATGTTTCTACTTAACTTTTGAACATAAAGAATACAGTTTTAATAACTTTCTCAGCTCCCTTGTCTACTAATTCTAACACTTGCATCAGTTCTGGGTTGGTTTCTATTGATTGGTTATATCGTATTGTGGCTCATATTTTCCTACTTCTTTGATGCCTGGTAAGTTTTTTGTGCTACACATGTGTGGATTTTACTCAACTGGATGCTAGATAGTGTTGTGTCCTGTATTCTTGACTTTGTTCTGGGATATAGTTAAGCTATTTGGAAACAGCTTGATCCTTTCAGGTTTTACTTTGGTAGGCAGGACCTGAACCATACTCAGGCGTTTTTGTTCTCCACTACTGAGACAAGGCCCTTTTGTGTACTCCATGCCCCACGGATCTTGAAGCTTTCTCATCTGGCTAGTGGAAGTATAGTTATGCCCTGTGAGCACACTGCTCTTCTAATCTTTTTTGGTCGTTTATTCTCAAACCTTGAGCAGTTTCCTATATACATGCTCTGATCTTACAGTAATATTATAGGGGGAGAAGGGGAGTCTCTCTGAATCTCCAGAGTTCCCTTTGTGCAGATCCCTCCTCTCTGTTCTTTGTCCTGTGAACTGTAGCTGCTTATTCTCCCTGGATGCTTTGCACTATCTTTTCAACTCAGTTCACCAAGGTCTGCCTCTGTTTCCCCTCCCTGAACTGAGACCTACAACCTCTCTCAAGAGTAAGCCATGGTGGGCAATCATAGGGTAATCTCTTTGTTTCCAGTCTCTCCACAGTCACTTCCTTCCTTGCCTGCTATTCATTATCTCAGAACTTTTTTTAGTAAGAATCAATCCAGTCTTTGTTATTTCATTTTGGCTGGAAGCAAAAGTCATCCTCACTAATTTTAACATTAAATAAAAAGCTCTTCAAAATTATTTTATAGTACCTTTATAAATGTCAGTGTTATTTTTCCTATTTTCAAATTTTAAAAAAGGTATACCCAGCAAACATAAGCATAATCATAATAAATATTGAGAGAACAAATTATCGCTTTAAAAATTCAAGGCCAGAGTCCTGTCTAAACCCATAACACCCAGCCTGATGACCCGCTTCAATCAGTGCTCCTTCCCTTATAAAGTTAAATATTCATCAAAATAAAATAGCTCCTTTATAAGTTTAAGAATGCAAGTTTGTTTCATAGGTAAAACTTAAACTTAGCAGCCCCACACTTTGGGAACGAAAGCTGTACAGTCCTTGTGAGTATCATGGTGTTCATAAGCAGACACCTGCCTCTGAAGGAGAGGTGCGTCCCGCCCATCGTATTCTGCACCCCTCCCGCCTGCCTAGCCTTCACCGAAAGAAAGAGGCCCCAGGCACTTGAAACACTGCTGCCACCCTCTCCTCTCCATATGTTCTTTAACCGCTTATTATCACCAGCTGGGAGATCTTCTCTAAGCACAGTAAATGGAGAGACAGCTGAGCCTAGTTATAAGCTTTTAGCTACTTGTCTGTCTGGTTTACTAACTTGGTGTTTATGTTTTTAGGAACATAGCTACAGTGTAATGGACAGTCCAAAGAAACTTAAGCATAAATTAGATCATGTGATCAGCGAGCTAGAGGATACCAAGAAAAGTCTGCGGAATGTTTTAGACCGAGAGAAACGTTTCCAAAAATCATTGAGGAAGACAATCAGGGAATTAAAGGATGAATGTCTCATCAGCCAAGACACAGCAAATAGACTGGAAGCTTTCTGTTGGGAGTATTGTCAGGAGAGCATAGAACGAGACTATATTTCATGAAGTAATTTTGTGTTATTTTCTACCTAAAGTTGACATTGGTACAGCTTTTTAGAAAGTAATTCTTATTTATCATCATTAAATAATATCCATCATTTAGAGTGCTTCTTTGGATCCTGTACAGCATTATGCATTATAGTTGTTATCCAAAGACTTTTTTTTGAAGACATGCAGAAATATGTGCTAGTTATCATGTTTTTGCGTGACTTGTGACAATTATGTTTTTATAGAGCTAAAGTAGTGCCAGGTCATTATTGTAAGATGTTAAAAGATCAAGAAAATTTCTCAGGACTAAGGAAATCATACCAAATCAGCCATGTTAAGCTGTAGTGGTAGAAACTGAACACTTCAGCAGCATCAGATTTTTTACTTCAAAGGAATACTTTCATTATTATTTACTTAGGTACACTTTATGGTAAATATGTTGAATTGTATTTTTTTTGAATTGTACTTTAGATGTGTCTTACTTCATTTATAACACATGTCAATGTTGGGTCCAATCCAAGGTGCTTTTGTTACCAGTAATACCAAAAAATACAAGACACCACATGGTACTCTCCCTGAGAACAGAATATGATGCAGATCTTTTGGCTTTTTAAAGTTGTCCAGAGACAAGTTCAGTTTCCAGTATAGGACACTATTCTTCCTTACTAGGAGAGTTTTGATGTTAACCTGCATAGTTTTAAAAAATTTTAGAAAGGGTAATAAATCTGATTTTTTAAATAGCTAGTTACTCTGACACTTCTCAACATTTGGTTTTATGACTTATTTCATTGTAAAGATATGTCTTCAAAATCTGAATGTCAGTACTAGATGAATGCCTTTCAATGCTGCTTTGTATTTTACAGAAAGTATTATAATATTGCTGACATTTTTAAAAATACAAAATACAGAAAAAAACATTAAACATAATGACGTGACTTTTCCAGTTGAAATAGGAATTGAAGAAAGGGTTACAATGTTTTCCTTTAACTAGAAGAGTAGATTACCATCCAAGAGCTTTTATTTAGTGAAATAGGTGGGAAAAACAGCAGCTTTAGAATAGTTTCTTACTCAATATACAAATAATAACTCAGTTATTTTCTGATTGACCCAAGTGTCAGAAATTTTGGTTTTTTCCCAATTTCTTAGAAAAAGCAACAAAAATTAAGAGTCATAAATACTGTGAGTTAGAATAAAATTTACTAGCCCAAAGTCAAATTCTACTTTGAAGCATATGTTACGTATATGAAACTCATTCAGACATCTCTGCTATAGTAGTTAGAATTTGAGTATCAATTGTTTCAGTGTGTTAACTAGCAATGATCTGCATTTTGTGCTAAAATGTTCATTATAATTTTATTTGTGTTAATATCAGTAAGGATATATGGTTACTTGAAATTTTTATATTTAAGAATTTTCTATTTTAATGCATGATATGTTTTTATGTAGAATTCCAAACCTTCCCTCTAAATGGGTTTTTACCCACATTTGAGAGATCAGCATTATGTTAAGAAGTCACTGAGGTCATATATTTTTATTATCTTAAAAAAAAAACTCATTAGCTACCCATTATTTATTTTAGTTATTTAATTTTGAATTCATAGTGGACACTCTAAATAGGAAATTTGGGTATGACCTTAGGTTTTTATAGCCATTTTGTGATAGAGATGGAAAGTTTTTCCCTCACCCTATTTTTGAGTATAAAAATTAAAGTCAGTGGACAGTGGAGAAAAGTGAAGGGATAGATCCAAAACAGTGCGTCCAAATTCTAGCTCTCTACAGGTTGCCTAGAATACACCAAGCCTGGGAGACCTTTGCAAACCTCAGGCCCTAGCTTCTGCCACTCTCACAGTTGCCAGTCACTTTTACTACTTGTGTTCACAGTGAATTCAGCCCTTGTGTTTTTCACTGGTCTTAGTATCACTGCCAGAGAGATAACTGTGGGAGAAGTATTGGTATCATCAGTGACTTGGAGCTACTCATTTGCTGTTTATTTTTGCAGAGAAATGATTACTAATAGAAACAAGACACAATAAATAAGGTCCTCCCCACCTGCCGCCCCAAACAAGCTTGAACACAGTATATACCTCAGTCCTCTGTTCCCAGAGAACCATTTTTAGCCTGGGGTAGAACTATCCTGTGCAGAGCAAAGCAGCCAACGCCCATCCAGAGGTTCTTCGAGCAACTAAGGCCATCCTAAGGGTTTCACTTTGCTTTAAAGCTTGGAGTGGACTCTGGATTCGGGAACAAAGCAATACACCAGTTCAGCCTCAGCACCAAATCAGGTACGAAGGACTTGGCATGACATTTTTCTCCATATCAAGTTTAAGTCTTTAGACTTTGGTTGCTAAAGATAGTCACAATTATAGCATACTCTTCGATTTGAGAAAAGATGTATTAAAATATATAGTTTTAATAAAAATATAAAATTGGGATAACTGTAATAGAATAACAATAAAAATGATTTAAAAATAAAAATATATAAAAACAAAAAATTAAAACAAAATCAATAAACATTAAAAAAGACAATATTATTACAGAAATAATTGGGGATGAAGAACCCAATACATGTTTGAAAAATAAAATATTTTCTTTAGTAATGTGTTCTGTGTGGTTTTTATGCATTTATTCAGTAAAATAGAAGAAGCAAGACTGTATGGACAGTGGTTTTGCTTTAATTTTTTCCACATTTTCCCCTCCACCAATATCTCTAATATTGTAAAGTCTGCTAGGTTAGATGACCCAGGTGGCAGGCCTGCTTCCACCACAATATGGCCCTACCATAGGGCCCTTTCCTGCTCTGGGCCTTACTCAGAACTGGCAGCCTTTCATGTCACCCAGTATAGAGCAGAGAGCAGTATTCTTTGGCATGAAATACACTGCCTTCAAAACCCTAAGAGGCCTATTAAGCATTGTGCTTTCATCTTCATAGTGAGATACCAGTTGTACTAATGTATCTTGCACTTCAGTGGGGGTGTCATAGCATACCCTGATCACTGGACACTCCTCCCCCAAAATTTTACTGACGTAAGCCCCTGATGCCTTTCTCTTCAGTGTGCACTACAGTATTGGATGACACCCATGCTCAATAGATTTCATACCACATCTTAAAATGTGTTTGAGCCTCATTCAGTCTCATTAATTTATCTTACATAAATTTATAGACAACATAATTAATGTACTAACACATCGCATGTAATATTTTTAAAGCCTCATACGCTATTGTGAGGGATACAAAGATGAGGCATTCACAACCTACAGGGACACACAAGTATATAACATAAATACAGAGAAGTGGGCAACTGGCAGAACTGTGGCCATCAAAGAAGGCAACCAAGATTATGAAACTAACAGATCCTCCAAGTTCCAAAATGGAACATTAGAGTGTCTATGCCTTTTTAAAGTTCTGTCCTAGGACTTGGATTCTGTTAGCACCCTCCTTAGATGTGACAATAAGAGACTAAGCCAACCAGGAGGAAACAAAACAGGCCTAGGTTCCAGTCCCAAATCTGCCCTTTTATTACATACGGAACCTGGACCAAGTTAACTGAATCTCTCTGAGCATTTACAAAGTGGAAAAATAATACTTTCCTCACACACTTGTGGTGAGAATTGTATTTAAATCTCTGTAAAACATAAGACCATACAATGAGCCCTCTGTGTATTGTTTTTCTTTCTTTAAATCCCATGCCAGACATAACAGGAAGATGGGCAAAAAGTAAGAGGGGGAAATGTGTGTGGTAAGGAGTGACGATGGTATAGACAACAGTAGAAAGGTAGGCTATTTGCGCCTTAAACAACTGTCTCTCCCTGGGGCAGCTCAAAAGCAGGGAAGAAACACTCTTCCACTGAAAGAGAAAACTTTATTTAATCACCATCCTCCTCTCCATTCTCCCAACCTCCACTCCGAAAAGCCATTGGATCCATCATAGATATATTTTCACTCATTCATTCAACTTCATAAAGCACCTTAGATGGTGCTAACTCAAAATGTGATTCACAGACAAGGGCACAACTTAAGGAGTTTGCACCAGAATACAAATCAACTACATTGGGAAGTACACACACTGCTTAGTTCAGTCAACATTTTTTTCATAGCAAGACTCTCAGTGAATAAAACTGTGTGTTGATTTACAATCTGGAACAAACATTCCATTCTGGACCAGTAAAAAAGAGTTCACAGAGCAGCAATTTTGCATAGTACTGCCTCAGAGTATCCAGTCACTAAATATCCTTTTTTGAATTAATCTTAGCTAGCTCATTGATTTGCGGTCAGTTGACAGCAGCAGAGTCCCCGACAGATTCATGTCAGATAACAAACTTGCCAGATGCCTGTGGTAGAATGTGGGCAGATGAAAGATAACATCACATCTGATGCAGCAGATCCGGGCCTCATGCTTTTGAAGACACGGGTATTTTATTAAACAGAGATAGCAAACATACATGCTGCTCAGAATGCTAACCACAAATACTGGTGATGAGTACCTTGTGGAGACGGGCGTTCCACTGCAGACTGGCCTGGAAACTACTCAGCATAAAATTTAACTGAAAATGAAGGGTACAGGTGTTTATAAAGAGAGAAAGTTTATAAAGAGAGTTTGTGTAATGGCACAAAATGTTGCCAGGCTATGCAGCTGAAGGAAATTACTTCTGAAATCCTGAACATTTCAAAAATTATTTTGGTTGCCACTCTCATTATGACTTGTAGATGATGAATCTTAAGAACAGGGAATGTTAAGGAACAAAGATGGTGGAGGAGTGAGTGGAAGTCACACTGACCTCCTCCCAGGACCAACCTGGAATTGCAACTAAATTGTGGAGAAATCACCTGGAACAAAAAACTGAACAATAAGGAGAGAGGAGCCATATAACCTGGGACACACAAAAGAGAATCAGCTTTAGCACAACCTAACTGGTAAGGAGTGCTGTAGAGATTCAAGAAGGCGGGCAGGGCACCCAGGGCGGCAACACCAGAAGGATATTGAAATGGCCAGTTGGGTCCCCCTGAGAAGAGCAGGGCCTAAACCATATGCGGGGACCTCCAACCTACAGCACCAGAGCCCAAACAGTACATAGAAAACAGCCAGCTGCAAAAAGCAGCAGGGTTGCTCTCTG